GAAGGAAGCCATATCCCCAGCGGACCGAACTAGACAGTGAGAATTGGTATTCAGAGTAGCAAAAGGTCGGTGTCATCCTCGTCAGTTCTCGGAAGAAAGAAGCACCGGAATAGACGCATGCCGACAAGACAGCAAGGCATCAAGAACAAATGGAAGATAGATAGGATCTTGTAATCCGTAGTCTAGCCTAGCTTCTTGATTTTTCTTTTAAGCACGGTGTAATAAGGAGATCGGTAAGCAGTAATAACAACATGCAACAGCAGTAACATTGCAGTCCCATGGTAGTCCCAGCTACCAAAATTTCCCAAACTACATTAACCTGATTCCCTTCTAGCCAGGGATATGTAGGAAACCTTTGAAGCAAAGGTTCGGTTAAATCTTTATCAAAAAAAAAAATGCTTCACACGGAGTACTCGGATGGGCAAAAATCGCTCGCTTTATCTTTGCACGGAAATCCTTCGTGTCTTCGGGCAAAGAAGGGCAGCTATAAGCACGTGATTTTTGCCCTATATGAGAATTACTCCCAAAAAAATTCCAAAAAAAAAAATATAAAACAATTTTTTTGTTTGCAATTATTGTGAATTTTGTGTATTGTTTGCATTTGTATGTGCATGTTTATTTGTTAAATTAATAAAAAATACAAAAATATATCACATTTGCATTTAGGATTTAATTCTACAATTAGGAGTAATTAAGTTTGTTTTACAAGAATGAAAATTACAAAATATGCATCATTTGCATTTTTAGCATTCAATGTCAAATTGTGCAATTTTGTTTTAATGGGTGCTTAATTATGTATGATAAATGTTGCTAGGAATTAGTTAGTATTTTTTATAAGTTAATTTAGTTTATAACTTAATTTAGAATTTAGTTTTATTAATTAGAAAGTAAAAGAAAATAGAGCTAAAAATATAAAGAAAATCGGAATTGGGCCTCTTCTTCAATTTCAAACCACAGGCCCAAAGATACCCAACCTTCCCCATGACCCGGTCCATTTCAACCCAGGTCGACCCAGTCCATAACCCAAAGACCCAACACCCCTATCTCCCTATCTTACATTTCACAAAACAAAAACAAAAAAATAAAAACCCTAAACCTAAAGCTAATCCCATCCGCCACCCTCTCTTCTTCTTCTCCAAGACCACACCCCTCCAACACGAGCAGCCATGGCTGCTTTCCCCCTCATGCCTCACCCTCAACACACACACACACACACGTCGTTCTTCATCGCCCTCACGACCCCAGTTCGGACAAACAACCAACACCATCTCCATCATCGTCCTCAAGCTATGAACGACCAAACGACCACCTTCGAGCTCCGTCTCGACATCCATGGCAGATATGAACCAGCACCCCTGCTTTACCACTGTTGCTTTTGCTACGTCCAAACAGACCTCGCTGCCACTGCTTCGTCTTCTTCGTCGTCGAGCTTGAGCTCGACACCCATGGCTGCTACTGCGTCTTCTTCTCCACCCCGTCACCTACTGCTTCTTTTGCTTCGTCTTCAACAGACCAGCTGACCCCATTCTCGTCGAAAACCAACGAGCAGTAACATCTCCAATACTGCTGCTCCAGCTCCACCTTCATCGACGTCCAGCTCCGCCAACAAACCTTCTGCTGCGTTGCTGCTGCCTTAGCCCCGTCCAGCATCGCTTCTGCTGCGTTGTTGCTGCTTCGTCGAGCATTTGATTCTAAACAAACCCCATCGCTACTGCTTCACCCTTTTTCCGTCACCTCCAGTCCAAAAATGAGACTCAACCATCTTGTTTGTTCGAGCTTTGGTCGGGGTTGTCGAAACAGTTCATACACAGTCGAGGTTGTCGAGTTGCAGCGCGTCAAGGTTGCAATTCAAACCCAATCCCTTTAATATGGTAGGATTCCGACCTATTTTTGTGTTGTTGTTAGCTTTTGTTCATTTTCTGTCCAATTCTCGTTCGGGTAAAATTAAATGTTTGGTTTATTCTGATTTTTCTTCTTCTTTGTATTGTTGCATATTTCAAGTTAGGAAGTTCAAATGTTTGGTTTAAACTGTGGCTATTCCCATGAGTGTTTATTCTTGTATTGGTTCAAATGGTTTTGTTTTGTGTATTGTTTGGTTTCCTGTTTTTTGTTGTTCATCATATGATTTCAGTTTGCATTTTCGTTTCCGTTAATTGTGATTCATGTTGTTTCAGTTTACTTTTATTGTTAATATTGTTGTCTCCTTGCTCGTTCATTTGTGTCTAAGTTAACCAGGATTGGTTTCCAATATGGTTAACTTATTCCCATTAATTTGATGTTGTTCAATCTGTGTTCATGGGATTTGTTATTTAAATTTGTTTAGAAATTGGTTATATTTGCTGTATTTTGGTTGGGATTGATTAAGTGAATTGGTTATAGCTGACGGGGGTAGATTGGTAAATTGCAGTACGTTCAGGGGTAAAATGGTAATTTCAGTAAGGTTGGAGGGGTATTTTTGGAATTGAACATTTGAACAATTATTTAATCTGAGTGCTCTGTCCACTAGGCATTAACAATATTAAAATAATACATTGTGGGGCACAAGACATAAATTAGTGGGGAGATGATATAATTGTTTAATATAGTGGGAGACAAGACATAATGTAGTGGAGGGAATAATGTAATTATTTAAGTTAAGCATGGGGGACAAGATATAATGGGGTGGGGTTGATATATTTATTTAATGTAGTGGGGGACAAAACATGTGGGCATGGGAGACAAGGGTTTAAAATAAAGAAGACATAGGGTAATGGGGAACAAAGCATGCAATTAGGGGAATATTTCGGGTTGGGGGTTCAAGACAAAAGTCTTGTTATAAATAGAGTCATTTGACACATTTTAAGGAGGACATTTTTTAGGAGAGAACATTTTGGGGAGGACTTGAAGGACATGGACTTAGAGAGAAAAAAAAGAAGAGACTTTAGAAGAAGAAACAAAAAAAAAGAAAGTTGAGAGTGTGACTGAATTTTGAGAAATTAGAATTTGAGAGCAAAAGAGAAAAACAAGTTGAACTTTACTTGAATAATTTCCGTTTGCCTTTCCTTGAGTGTTATTTAAAATCAGTAAACTGCTGCTTCTTGTATCCGTATCTCTTCTGCTTTGACTGCGATTGCATTCCGGTACTGCTGGTTTTTCAATCTGTTGTTGGGTTATTCTACTGGTCGTTACTGATTTTGTCGTGTTGCTGAACCTATTGTTGCTGTGTATTTACACTACTGCTGTTTCTACTAATCTTCATCTTCTTTCCTTGCTTTCCAAATAAACGGTACACAAACTGATACACTGATTCATCTTGTAATCTACTCGAAGCAAGAATGCAAAAAATGAGAAAGATTTGAAGTTGTAGTTTAATGTAGTCTTTTCTTTCTTTTATTGTCTGTATGTAGAACATTCTATGCGCTGCCCATGTAGACTCTTTAAACGTCTCACTTTCAAAACTTAACTATAATATCTCGAAAGTATGTAAATAAAGTAGGATCTTTTCTTCATTTATTTTAGAGAAAAACGAAAAATAGAAAATGTAGTCATTCTAAGATTATCCTTTTTTTAAAAAAAAAAATAAATGAGACGAGCCTCGCCAAATAAAAATGCAAATTGCGGGGCCCTCAATAATTGGTCATAATAAATACTTAGAATTTGGGATGGACTGTTTAGTGAATTTCACTGTCTTCTCCAAAGATAATAACGCGTTAGACTCTTCAGACGCGATTTAATTAAATTACATTTCTTGAACTCGGGTGCACATTTATGTGACCCAAATCCAAATCTCAATGGAGTCGAAATGTATCTCTAATCACGGGTATATTGATTGTGACGTGGTTCGAGATGCATGTCCATGGCGTTGCAAATTCCTTTTTAAAAAAAAAATAAGAATGAGATGAGCCTCGCGGAATAAAAATACAAAATTGCGGGGCCCTCAGTAAATATTTGCTTTAAAATTGTTTAGACTTCGGGATGGACCGTTTAGCAAAATTTCACGGCCCTACCCAAAGTAAATGATACGCTAGTCGCTTTAGGCG